AATACGTCATTTATTTTTTAGCTCCAAAACAAAATGAAACTAGTTTTGTTTTACAATTTTTCACAATATATTGTTATATCATTACACGCAAACTACGTGGCATCTTGTTTAAAATTTTAACAATTACTTGTGACTAAATCAAGGTTTATGCAAATTTATATGTTTTAGACATACGTAGATAATAATTTCTGTATCCGTGGTTGTTTTTCTCTAAAAGATCGTTAGATCAGCAAACGTAATCTTTTAATACAAAATCATATAACAAATATTGCTACAACTCATATAGATTTACCTTCTTGTAGTTGCAATAATTGCAAAAAAAAAAAGAACCTTACAATAATTGCAGCCATTTTGTATTTACAAAGCATATTTTCACTTTACCTAACGATGTATAAGGGTATTTAAAGAGCGCTCTGTTTGCGCTCCGTCCACGCGGCTTCATTAATTCAGCCTCATTACAATCAGGAGTCAGGACGTCTGTTGCGAGGCTCTTAAATATTCAGCAATCGTTAAGCTCATGTAGGAACATGCATTACCATGGTTAACTAATGTACGAAGTAATGACATATAGTTGGATGAAATGTGCAAGTTTTTCTTTTAGCAGCGGTAAAAAAATGTAGAACTTAATTAAATAGATAATCTGTATTAGAAATGCAAGAGTAGAGGTGGAAAGCAGTAAAACCGGTTCTCTTTCATAACTACTAGTAGCGATTTACATTTCGTTCAGTATCTGTATGAAAATCAATAATAACTTTATTCCATTATCGCATTATCTAAGAAGTTTTTACCACATTTTTATCATTATAATATTATTCAATGAATTTGTTACGAAAAGCTGAAACAATGATCGTTTACATTTTTGCGCCGTTTAACGTCGATGTTCCTTTTTTCCACGTGACTGCGTAGAAGAGCTAGCGCAATTCAATCCCTTGCTCATGCCAGACTTTTAGACCTCTTTTTTACTAAACGGTCGGCCGTGCGCGATCAACTTTTTGTATGCAGCCACGGTTGCCAATAAAAAATGGGACATGCGACTTCCCGTAGAAATGATAGTCGCGCTGGTCGGTTAGTGGAAAAAGGGCTTTGGCATTAAGACGTAGTAAACGCGCTCGTTACCGGCCCACTCGCCGTCGAGCCCTCTCAACGCCCTCCCGCAACCTCTCACCTGTCCCTAGCTTCTCAAATGAGACCTGACCTGGGTAACTCTGCTCACAACAATACACTACGTCGTTATATGAGCTCCAGCTAATAAGAATACTTCCTTACTCTATCAGTGTATCTTGCCTCTTTCATGGTTTATCCTATATTTTTTTTTTAAATGAACTTTAATATTTTTCCGCACTGTACTAATACAGTCGGTAAACAAAGATGGTACTTGCTATTTACGCTTGACATTCTGTTTTATAATTGTTACTTATATTTACTAGGCTTATTTTAGGGTGTTGCAGTTTTGCAAAATATGGTCGCAACTAAAATTATCACCAGCGAAAATTCTTTATTACATTTCTAAAAGTAAGAAACCCGTAGCAAACTTCAATAAAGATGTCATCGTAAAAACGCTAAGGATCCGCAGGTGGTAAAGTAAATCTGCGAAGCGAATCCACACCTCGCATGGTAACAACACCATGTGATTGCGTAGCTTTATTTACGCTGGCGTGTTATTGAAAACAACCCTTCGATCGCTTGCTTCTGCTCGTGACGTTTGCAATAAAATGTTAATGCCTTAAACGTTTTATTTCATATTTTCACGAATAATTATTATAGTAAATGGTTTGGTTAGTTTTTAGAGTATATATTAGCCTCTTCATCACCAACTCATATGAGAGTCTGATTTTATACGAAAAATTGTAGAGCATTGAAGGTGTTTGACATTTTACCTCTTACTTCTTACTAATATTATAAATGCGAAAGTTTAGATGGATAGATGTTTGTTAGAGTTTGTAGTCTAAACCGCTGAACGGATATCAATGAAATTTGGAATGGATGTAGACAATAGTCTGGAAGAACACATAGGCTACTCACTTTGGTTTTTTTAATTCCACGCAGACGAAGTCGCGTGCGAAAGCTAGTCTTGTATATGAAGCAAATGTCTTGCAACTCATAGTGGTCCCAAGACAAAGTATCTTAAGAAGTTGATGTTTTCCATTCTATTATAATACAGGCCAGAATCCCCATGATATGGCGTAAAATAATTTACGAGTACATCGCACGACCGTCGCTCATGAGGTTTGGAACTAAACACCGTTTATAATGAATGACGTAAACAGAACGCCAGATACCGAACCGAATGCGTTTCTCTTATTCTTAGAAATATTCTTTGCTCGTATTTTTGGTGGCACTAACTTGTCTACGCTTGTGATCAAACAAAGGTTTTACAAAATTCTTTGTTTAATTTACCATATGTACATGAATTCGTTCCAGACAGGACCACACCAAGGCTATTTGACGTATTGTCATATTTTTGATTCTACAATATAGTAAGTTTTTTTTAAGGATTTGCAGTAAAACAATTTTAGAATATGAATAAGGTCCGCTGCTCAATTACTCGACGTATATCAATTACAAGACACTATTTTGGTCAAATAAAGTCTTAGAAATAGGAAGAAGTATTCTCGCAATGTAGTTTATTAAATATAACAACAACAGTGACCTGATTCTATCAAATACTAATCTATCTAGTCGGTCTAACTTCATATTTAAACAGTGCCACGGACACGCCCGACTCTAATCTATTCGCTGAAACATGTATTGTTTCAGGTGAACTGTTCGGACTTTCATGCAAATGACACGAGCGACTGGTCTGCGAATACAGATTATATAGTCTATGTTATATTCGAATTGTTAAATCCGTCGTAATAAAAAACGACTAGATTTGTTATATAGTTTTTGTTAATTAAATCCATTTACGTGGAGATCTGGAATCAATAACGTCGGGACTAATGATATCTTCTGTGCTTCTAACAATAGTTGACAAAGACAATCAATCACGCTCGTCTAAATAAGTTCAAGTAAAAATGACATCAAAATGTTTTATTTGTTTTTACCTTTGATTGATGTATCATTTATTGTGAAGACGACCGTTCACTTTGTAGCTCCATTTATATTTTTATGATCAAATCGTTAAATTTTCTTAGTAGTAAAGAAACGACATCAAAACGATCTCTAGAAGTCCTTAGAAAGTCATATAAATAGTTCGAAAATATATTACTTTTTGAATATGGAGTAATATTTCGAAGAGTTTTATCCGTTAGAAGTATTTAACGATGTTGGATTAAATAACATATAACAGAAATTTGATGTGTTGTGTGTAGCATAAAATATGCTACGGTAAGTGCTTCAGTTTTATGATGGAGCACATTTCGAACGAAGTTTTTAGTTTTATCGGCAGTTTTATATCGACATTCAGTTTTACCGGGCAAGCGATTAATAATATAAAATTTTATAAATTCAATAACGGCTGAATATTCAAAGTTTTATTGCTCTTTTGTTAATTTAATCTTTTGAATGTTAGCAAACATCTCACCTCAAAATTAAACTAGAATAAAATTAATTAGAACGTATTTTTGGCTCGCGAAAAAGTTTATAAAACCTTAATCATCTCTTAGTTTGTATTTGTTCCGATATCGAATAAAATAAATAACTTTTGCAGTTAATACCTCTATCCTATATATAGGGAAAAAAATGTTTAACAATTATTTGCCATTTAAACCTAGCTTTAATAAATCCATTCCGAATGATGACGGCTCAAAAATTCTGTGACGAAAATTGGAGAATGAAAAATTCGTTTTCGCTAAACACTTGTGCGAGCAAAGTGCTTTAGATTTTAAGTAGAAAAACGAAAAGGTTTTCAACCTGGAAACCTGAGTCTGCTTATCAGAATCTTCGAGATCAATTTAAAATCAATCATCCACGTTGATCAAAGATTTTTTTGTATGTTGGTAAAAACGTGCTAGCAACTGAGGGCGGGAGTGCGAAAATTTCGATCACCGGAGGGTCGGCAGGTAACGAGTGTTCAATCAGAGGGAGCGAGATATAAATGAAAAAGTAAATTCGACTCGATGTCGAGTTGTCGACCCCTCGTAGTATGGGATCCATGGACATTGCACATTTGCGGACTATCCCACGACAGTGCATGTCTATGCACATATTAATAATTTATTCACTGTAAACATTTCGCTGGTGTATTACTAAAACAAAATACTTATTGCAAGGACAAATTTGACAAAAGTAGTTACGCTGTTTACTTCGTTACATTACGTAACTTCGTTATGTTAGCTGTTGTTTTAACGTTCCTTTTGATTTTATTACTAAAGTGAAGATAATATTGCATAGTTTTAGGAAACGCTATTAAATCAATATAAGCTAAGTAATAAGATGTAAGGACGCATTATAGAATTAAATCGATGGTTTAAGGGTAAGAAATGAATTATGTGCTAATGTCTCACGTTATACAACATCTTGGTGTCTCTTGCAAACTTGACTAGCAATGTGATTATCCCATCCCGTGTCAACGTACGAAGCGGGAAGGGAGGAACGCCGGCTTCCCAATAATCATGACACGTCAAATTTCATCACTCTACGAGAGCGGCGTTATATCTAGAAGTTATCCAAGCGATATAACGACAGAATAAAATACTAAAGTTCCATTTTAATGCTAACAAAAATCGACTCAGTTTTTATGTGAATTTTATTTGTCGCATAATAAAATGTAGTCCTGAATTAAATGTAACATTCGACACCTGATCTGTAACGATCGTATTTGTAACAAGGTGATTACAGAGCGAGGGCTGCGGTGCGATGAGGTCGACTTTACCACCACGTGACCGTCGGCCGATCACTGGAATACGATACTCCTCCGTTTATAGCATCTTGACCTTTTGTAACATAAAACTGTTTGTTACATTTAATGATTGCGCTTGGTATAAAGAAGAGATTATATCATGTTTGATGCCTTACTTCAGATATCAACTTTATTTTTACTCATTTATTAATTGCTACAGGGCGGCGCGGCTGCGCAGCAGTGGTTTGTCGTGTAAAGCGAACCCTGGAGCCGCACAGGGGTCTATGTAGGTACCATTATTTTTTATTTTAAATTTATAAATACTTGCAGAAGTAGGCGTTTTTTAATATCATAAGGGTTTTCCATTAGTGCAATAATATGTATACTAAACCAGATTGGTTATTATGATTAATCTATTTCTCAGTATTGTATCGCATTAGTTGCGATAGATGATATGTAATTAGGATGAGTGATGACACATATGCAGAGCGTCAGTGGCTTAGAGTTTGAGTACTGGACTTGTAAACTCTTGAGTTCGAATCCCGCCATGTACCAATATGGTTTTCGGGTTCGGAAGAAACCTAAAGATCAGTCAACTAATCCGTAGTGGGACACGTGTTTGACTATGGCCTTGTCATCCCTTACTTGAGGTAGGCTCTGAGCCGATTAGTGGACACGTATAGTGAGCTAGTGATGATATTATATGTAAGTGATGTATTTGTGCAGTGGTGCGGAGGGCGCGGCAGCATGGACGACGGAGGCAGCAACAAGCAGCGGCAGGCCACCAGGGTCTTCAAGAAGAGCTCACCCAATGGAAAGGTTACTAAAACTAATACATCTAATAACCACTAGATGTTCCTGCTATATATACATTATTTTGATGCCCTGTAAAAGTTAGGTTCATCGAACAATAATATCGTTTGTGATACGTCAACACGCGATACGCTTTTGATGAGTCAATGCACGCGAACTTATGCTATCCTGGTACCTAATTCCATCGTACTGTCGTAATATGTTACCGTCCCATAGGAAATATCTTAAATAACGACAATCGTATTTACAATACTTTTAGAACATTCTAGTATTCTTTCAGGGTATTTTATTTTGTTTTGTTTATTATTTTTTAATCAAAACTTGTTTATTTTCCAGATCACAGTATATTTAGGAAAGAGAGACTTTGTAGACCACATAACACATGTAGATCCTATTGGTGAGTAATTCTTATTTATTGTTGAAACATTTGCTTTTATACAAAATTAGCAGTTTTTTTTTAATGTTTTAAAGGTAATTTTTGAGTAAACAATCATATGATTTATATTGAACGATAATTTAGTATTTCAAAGCAAAAACATGTCTGCATCCGATGATTTATTTGCGGCATATTTTGCAGCTCCGCAGTTTCATTGCTGCTATAACTCTTACTTGAAATTTACAGTTGCAAATAACATTAACGTGATATTGTAGATGGCGTGGTACTGATCGACCCTGAATATGTGAAAGAGCGCAAGGTGTTTGGTCATGTCCTCGCCGCGTTCCGCTATGGCCGTGAGGACCTTGACGTGCTCGGCCTTACCTTCCGCAAGGACCTCTACCTTGCTGCTGAACAGGTCAACAAACTAATCTTACTATTTACTTGGACTTACTGCATCTTTAAGAGTCTTGAATAGTTACATAAATTGTAATTGTTATTCGATATTTTTTACTATACAGTCGCGAATCAATTTAACGCAAACATTCATATTTACTTTCCCTAAAAGCACTTACATGTTTCTCGTACAAATGCCAATCTGAATTAGGAGTAAAATCCATTTGTTCGCCTCGACATTAGCTCGGTGTTGACAGCTCGCCCGTAGGTTCAGTCTGGGCTTGCCAGTTAGCAACTTTGTTAAACGTGTGGGCAATTTGGAAATATTTTCCGCAAAAATATAATTGGAATTGAATGGATTGCAATGGAATTGTTTATAAAAACATATCAATCACTTGTTTAGCCTTCTGGCTGGTAACATCTAATAGTAACCGGTAACTTCTTTGTACGGTAATATCTCAATGTCATATTTGACACGCTGAGACGCTTCTCAGTGTTTCAATTATTATTATTCTATTTATTTATTTACATAATAAAAAAAATATAATGTTTCACAAATAATGTCGCCAAACTTCACATTTTGTTCGCGACAGACACACATTTCCTGTATCTTATATTTATTCTTATATATTTACATATATTTTAATTTTCTAATAAATACTTTTTTCATTTATTGTTTCCAATATTTTTGGTTTTACTGTCAATGTTTTCGTCTTTAAGTAATTTGTTTGTTTGTGACTGTATATCGGACGGCAGGTAGCGCTAGTGAGATTTGTGAAAAATATTTCAAGTGAGGCATCAACTATGCTTCCTCTATTTTTGAATCTGTTCCAATTAGTTAACAGCTTTCTCCCAACAGATCTATCCCGCGACAGCGCCCCCAAAGCGTCCTCTGACCCGGCTACAGGAGCGGCTCGTCCGCAAGCTGGGCCCAGCCGCGCACCCCTTCTACTTCGAGCTGCCGCCGCACTGCCCCGCCTCCGTCACGCTGCAGCCCGCGCCCGGCGACACCGGCAAGCCCTGCGGCGTCGACTACGAACTTAAAGCATTTGTTGCTGATTCACAAGATGATAAACCCCACAAGAGGTAATCTATATATTAATATTATTCTCCACATGATAACCAGCAAGATTGACTGCTGGTACCTTAATAGATATCTTAAGTTACACCCTGCTCACTGAAATTTGTTATAAAAATATTAGTTATATTCTGTACTGTTACTATCTTAGTATAAGAGACTTACTAACAATTTTATAAGCTGATTTTTTATTTATTATTATACTTCTATACTTAATATTATAAAGTGGAAATGTTTGTATTTTTGTATATATTGAAGTAACTCAAAAACTACTTCGCCGATTTTTAAAATGATGTCACCGTTAGAGAGGTATTTTGTCTGTGAGTAACATAGGCTTTTTATTATATTTTAATTTCACGCAGACGAAGTCGCGAGCAACAACTAATACAAGATAAATTGCTACGCACATGTTAAAGCATCCTTATTAGTGTAAACTTACTTTACTAAGTTATTGAATCAAAATTAAAACAGTTTTTTTAATAAGTTACTTGTTGAATGTTTAGAAAGGATATAGAATGGTTAAACAAGGATATAGCTGGCGATCACGCTATGCCGGTTTTTATAAACATTCCATTGCGGCTAATTGGTGTTAATGAAAACGCATGCACTTGCTCAGTGAATCATGGCGCATCACTTCCTTGAATCTGTTAATATATATACATAGATATGAAAAATATGAGTTACTCAAATATTAAACAATGACATAGGCCTGCGTCACATACAAGCATATGCGTTCTTATGCGCGAAAACTTTACTTTGAGTGCTCCCACTGTTTTCTGAGACAATATTCAAGACTTGTTTTGGCATGTACATTGATATGTGATAATATATGTTAGGAATTCAGTACGGTTGGCGATACGGAAGATAATGTACGCGCCGAGCAAGCAAGGCGAGCAGCCCTCAGTTGAGGTCTCCAAAGAATTTATGATGAGCCCAAACAAGCTTTACTTAGAGTCTTCATTAGACAAGGTATGTGACACACGTAGAATGGTTAACTGGTCATTTCAGTGTTTTTTATTATTATTGTATGTGCAGGAGTTATACCATCATGGTGAGAATATAGCGGTGAACGTGCATATCGCAAATAATTCGAACCGCTCCGTGAAACGTATCAAAGTGTCGGTGCGCCAGTTCGCAGATATCTGCCTCTTCTCCACCGCGCAGTACAAATGCACCGTTGCTGAGGCGGAATCCGAGTTAGTGTACACATCACTATTGAACTCACTCTTTTACTCATTCATTCTTTCGTTCAATCACTCATCAATTAATTCGTTCACTGATTCCTTCTTACATACTATCCTATATTTGTTTACGCAGTAATTCACTTGTTCAATATTTATCTTCTTAATTTCTACCATATCTAGTTCATACATTCGTTCACTACTTCTTACATTCTATCATTCATTTATTCACGCTTCTACTTCATTAACTCATTAGTTCATATCTATATTACACATTCGTTTACGAACGCTCTCTGTCGTTCGATCAATTTTTCCTTCACGGATTCATTTCCTGGTTCATTCGTTCTTGGATTCATTCCCTTGTGCAATTAGTTTTTTGCACTTGTGTGCAGGGAGGGGTGTCCCGTGGGGCCGGGCTTCACACTGAGCAAGGTGTTCACGCTGACGCCGCTGCTGGCCAACAACAAGGACAAGTGGGGGCTCGCACTCGACGGTCAGCTCAAGCACGAGGACACCAACCTCGCATCCAGCACTCTGTAACTATCAAACTTCCCATTGTTATAAAAACTATCTTACTATTGTTATAAAAACGAAAGTTAAGATGTATGGATGGATAGATGTTTATTAGAGTTTGAATCTGACATAGACGTAGAGGATAGTCTGCAAGAACACTTAGGCTTTTGACTTGTGGATGGAGTCGCATGCAAAAGCTAGTATAATATAAATATTCCATTTGCTAAAATATCTTACTAATGTTTATAGGATAGCGGATCCAGCTCAGCGCGAGAACTTAGGTATCATAGTACAATACAAAGTCAAGGTCAAATTGTGCCTCGGACCACTTGGCGGGTAAGTAGCACTTAAATATAGTTCAAGTGTTAATTAACTAAGCTATATGTGTCATTCTCGTATGTTCAGGGATCTCAGTGCGGAGCTCCCGTTCATCCTGATGCACCCGAAGCCAGAGGAGGAGGCGCCGCGCTCCGCCCCCGAGCCCACGCCCCACCAGGACCACGACCTCATACAGCTCGACCCACACCCGTACGTGTCTTGCTACATTAGGTTTTTGCTATTTACTCTATTAAAATGAGAATTAACTTCATAATTTCTCAATCTTCCTAAAATATAGTATTTATTACCATATTTTTACTATTTACAGAGACGAGAATGGGCAAGAGCAGGACGACGATATAATCTTCGAAGACTTCGCGCGACTTCGGTTAAAGGGTGCGGACTCGGAGGCCTGAGATGCGCCCCCGCCCCCGGCACCGCCTCCGGCTCCGCCCCCAGCCCCGCCCCCAGCACTGCCCCCGCCCCGCAGATTAAGGCTGGCACCATTGGATCGTGGCTCGCGATGCCCGTAAATACAAGGAATTGTCCACTATTCACCATACTGTACATAATAGTTTCCTTGTGTAAGAAGAGACTTCATACTTGAAGAAACATGGTCCTTCGAGCCGATATTTTCATATAACCGGTTGTAACTGGTTCAACTGTTTGTATGTTGTGAATGTCTATGCCTATACCGAGTTACATCGATGTCAATTTCGATTGGATACGAAATTTGAACTCTGTAGCACACGGAATAAAGTTCAAATTCAACTGCAGGAAGGATCGGGTATTTTGCATTAGTTAGGTGTTGTTACATGCACACTGTATCAAAATACGTTGTTAAAATCCAATGAGCTGCAAATATGATGTACGTGTGAAGAACATTTTATTACTAATTTTCTAAGTGATTTGGCCGTAATGTTTGGCCAACCAGTTTGCGGCAAAAGTTGGTTCTAATCCAAAAAAGATAATGTTACTTAGTATTGATATTTTTTAATATTACTACTGAACAGTTTTTGATATAAAAGTGTGCTTGTAACATATTAAGTATTATAGTTAAGAATTTTATATTATATTCGATGTATATTGTAATATTGAAAATTATTTTAAATAGCAATTATTGATCAAATTTGCAAGTACAATTTTATGTTTGTAACATTTAGTTTTAAATATGTGTAATATTAGTTTTAAATCATACGATCAGTTGCGCGTAATTCTTTTATGAAGTTATAGTACATATAATTCGACAACATGCATTTAATAGTGTAAAAAATATATTTAATATTGCGATTTAGTTTCAAAAATAAGTGTCGATTTTATACAAACTTGTTTTGAAATGTGGCCTTTGAGACAGAACTGTTCAAACAATAATAAAAGTATTCCTGTCTCTCTTTCTCTTTCACAAATCAGAGATAATAATTTTATCCCATAACAGTGTCGCTTATTGATTCTGAACTCGGATTTTTATATGATGGTCTCTGACGGCTACAAAACATTCCAGTACACGAAATATTTTTTTAATACAACTGACGCAATTCATAATTTTATATTACACAATTTATTTATCAAATTATATTTAATTATTTGTAGTTTCATTGTATTACTGTTCATAATTTTCCAGATAATTGTTGGTTTTAGTAAAAATTAATTTCGATAAAACGGAACGCAAACACTGTGGTATGTTTCGGAGCTGTTAGCGCTCTCTAATAAAAACTGAATTATAATATATACGTTTATACTATAACTTGTACATTTATTTTGCTGTACAGAAAGAATGTTTTGTAAAGTTTATGGTATAGTTTTTTTAAATATTTGTAGATTAAATAATTGAATGCACAAATATCTTACTACGTTTAAGCTTAGATGTGAGTGCAGCTATATGAATCCTCCATTGACAGCATCTGTCAAAACAACGCGCAAACGTTCATGATTGGGATATTTTTTTTAATTCAACTAGATGAGTGGGGTAAGGACAGGGATAAGACTAATCTTTACAGCTCTGGGTTCTTGCCCTTTTGAGCCAATCGGAATGTATAATTCTTAGTATTGCCACTTATAAGGTACAAATTTACTTTATATTTTTCTGAAATTGTTTTATAGATTAATCATTAGGTCAGTATTTTGTATTTTCAAATGTATGTTGATGTTAAAAATTATGTAATTGTTTTTAAGTGTATTCTACTACAAAATTATGTTTTTAAACTTGAACGTAATATCTGTATCACTTCTGTAAGTGACACAAACAATAGTTGTCCTAAATAAACTTTATAATTTGTGAAAATCAACAATAGAATTTTGATTATGACATTTTGAGTGTAATGCATTTTAATTACTATTTTTTGATTCTAAATTTCAAGGCTTGTTAAGTGTCGGTGTCAAATACCGAAATGCGCCCGTTATCAGCAATGCATTATTAATAGATATGAAATAATTATTTTGTTGCTATATAATTGTATTATTATTTATATATTTTAATGCTAAGTGTTGAATGGTATAAGTAATTTGTATAATTAAATAATTGTATGTAGGAATAAAAAAGACGAGATCTAAAAAAATGAAGTTTTCGAAGTTGACAAGCTGAGTACAATTAGCCGCAATTGTTGTCATACTTGAATTTTATACAGAGGCTACTGCTTTTTACACAAATCATTAACACCAAGTTTCCTACTCAATTTTACAAAAAAACGATTATATGAAAATTATTACGACTCGTTTTTATTATAATACGAATAAATAATTCTTCCATGCAAAGAAATAAAAATAAATGCCGAAAGTGAAAGCAACAAACACATTTTTTAATTTTACATCGAAAAACTTTTTGATGTATACTTTTTCAATAAATACGTAATCAATAAACTTTTGTAGTTTGTTTTTTTTATACCTACACCTAAATCTTGAAAAAAGTATGAGTTTTATCACCAGATCTGCATGATGTCTCGGGATAGATGCAGAGTAAATGAGGACATCGTAGTACAGTGAACGTGTAGTTTATTTCAATTATGTGCTTATTTGACAAAGTATGTTATCCAAAAAACTTCTTCATTTCTAGCTAAAAAACAAAAATTATGAATTACTAGCTTTTGCCCGCGACGCCGTCCGAGTGAGATTAAAAAAAAAACAAAAGCAAGAAGCCTATGTGTCCTTCCAGGCTATCTTCTACATCCAGGTTTTTTGTCGAGATCCGTTCAGCAGTTTACGCTACAAACTCTAACAAACATTCATCAATTCATGTAAACTTTTGCATTTATAACATTAGTGAGATAACAAAGCGCACTTTCACTTTAATTTTGATAAATTCTGTCCTTGTCGCTTATCTTCCTTTTTCTTTTTTTGCCATTTCCTCTTGTTGATGATGACTGCGATTATTTTTTTTCCCCTATAACTACGGTAAAATCATAAAACATAGAAACATTAATGCCATTTTCTGGTGTTTTATATAGTCTGTTGTTGTAACACTAATGCCTGGTTCACACTTGGCCAGTACAGTTGCACAGTAGCGCTCAACGAATGACTGTCATTAAATTAGCACAATGTGAAATGTGAAATTTTGCCAGTGTGTTCATAGAAACCATATTTACCATGTTCAATTCTCTAACTGTGCTGGGCAAGTGTGAACTGCGCTTAATACTCTTTGACATTGAGTACTTCACTCACTCGCAGCTCAATTCACTTTACATCAATAATTTAAAGATTTGTAGGTTATAATTCCAGTTGTTTACAATATAAATAAGTTTTAATTTTTTTGGATTAGTAGTGTACTTATTAAAGTAATTTAACGTGATTTTTGTCGGGGTGATGTCTCAATTTGTACTTTTGCGTACACTTTACTTAGACTGAAGAAACAAGATTTCTTAGCATTAAAAGCTAAGCAAATATTCATGTAAATGCGTTAAGATATCAACAAATTGAGGTACAATGGGTACCAGAAATTTATCTAAAAAAGAGCTAGAAGAGCTGCGTAAGAAAGAAGAAGAGGAAGCAGCTGCTCATGTAAGTTTTAATATTTTGGATTGAACAACCAATTTACCGCAAATGTTTTCGGACTATAATTATATTATTTCATGAATTATATATGTTTATCTTCACAATATTGATGTAAGTTACAAATTATTAGACTGTTACGGTGTTTAAGTTAATACATGAATCACGCAACTTATCATTGCATGTTTTTATTTTTTGTAAACATCTTCAAAGATTGAATTTGTAGATTTTTGGTTTGGTTGAAAAGTTATGCTAAATATTTTTGGATACCAAACTGTCGCTGACAATATACTCTTTATAAATAATTATATTTTAATTTCCAGGTTTTTAAGGAATTTGTGGAGACATTTCAAGAAGTACCCAGCACAACTTCTAAGGTGTGGGTCAAAGCTGGGACTTATGATGCAGGAGCAAGAAGTAGGTTAAATTACCTTAGAAACTTATAATAGCTGTTGCTCGGAACTTCCTTAGTGTGAAATTAAAAAAAATATGTCTATGTTTCTCACTGATAACATAGCTTTTTAATGCTGAAAGAATTTTTGAAATCGGCCCAGTAGTTTTTGAGTTATTTCAATACATACAAAAATCTAAAAATACACATCTTTCCTCTTTATAATATTAGTATATATTAAAACTATATAAGATATTACTTAAACAAATTGTGTATTTTTACATCTAAACTTTTAAATTCAATAAAAAATTGTCATAAATTTTCAGAGGAAGACACATCAGAGCGGGGCAAGCTATACAAGCCAGTGTCTCGACTGGATGACAAGAAACAGGCCACAGAAGCTGACATGTTGCGCAGCTTAGCCCAGATCTCACCCAGGCCTGAATCTGTACTGCGTTCCCGAGCCAAATTCAACAAGGACAAGAAGAAGAGTAACCTGGAATTGTTCAAAGAGGAACTTAGACAGTTAGTTTTATCTTTAATATAAATATTTTGAATTTTATTTTCATCATCTTCCTTCTTATCCTACTCCAGTAGGGTTGGCACAACAGGTTTTTGTTTTTGATTTTAATAATGTCCTAAGAAATAGAGTAAAAAAATTCCATTTAAATAAGTAAAGAATGTGTTTGAACAAGATAAAAATGTTTTTTTTTTTAATTTACAGGATTCAAGAAGAGAGATCAGAGAGACATAAGTATAAGAATGTGTTACGTGAGCGCGGAGTGGTCGGAGGCGAGCCTGCACTGGACTCTATACCTGACATTGGTTCTTATGATACCGGAGATCCTAATACCACTAATCTCTATCTCGGAAATCTCAACCCAAAGGTTAGTGAAGATTACATTAATGGTATAATTCATATCATAGGTTTTTTATTATGAACATACATGCATATTTATCTAATTTTGTTGATAAATCTAAAAAGGAAATGTATTGTAAACTTTCTTATATTTTTCTTATGCACTTAAATTGGATTGTCTGTAATATCAAAAGAAAAAATACAGATTTTGGGAAGATGTATTTGCGTTGCTGATAACGAAAATCGCATTAAATTTTTTTTGTCTGTCTGTCTATCCACAAGCCGAGTTTGTTCTGGTTAATCTCTGAAATAGCTGGGCCGATTTCGACTGAACTTTCACTGAAAGGTTGTTGACATTGACGGACATGTTATAGGCTACTGTTGTTTTTAATTTCGCGCTGTCAAAATAGCGACCGGACATTTATCACTGGACTGATTTGGACGGGACTTTGACTGGAAGGTAGTTGGTAAAAAGTAGATGCACTCGGGAATGTTATAGATGACCATTTTTTTTAAATTCCACGATAATTAAGTTTGCTGGCGACAGCTCGTTTTATAATAAATTCACAGACATAAATATCATTGTCAGTCACTAAAATGTGTAAACAATGTGTGTGTTGTATTGTGGTCAGATCACGGAGCAGCAGCTGATGGAGATCTTCGGGCGGTACGGTCCGCTGGCCAGCATCAAAATAATGTGGCCGCGCTCCGACGAGGAGAAGGCGCGCGGCCGCAACTGCGGCTTTGTCGCCTTCATGTCGCGCAAGGACGGCGAGCGGGCGCTGCGCTCCATTAATGGTAACACTGCTGTTATTTATTATTTAGTACAAGTACAGTCAGCTCATAATACTAGCTTCAGAAACTAATATATACCTTAGGTGACTTGTGTGTAAAATGTAAATATGAACACACATTTTGTGTGCTACCGATCATTAATAAATGTTAGTAACAATTTCATGAAGTTCTTGAAAGTGATGGCCCATAAATCTTTCTTATATTATAAATGTGAAAGTTTAGATGGACAGTTGGTTTACCATTTTGGATCCAGAAATATAGCATACATTTAGAACGTAGCCTGGAAGAACATTTAGGTAACTTCTAAGTATTCTTGTAAATTCCTCACGGACGGAGTCACGGACAATAGCTAGTGTATAATCATGTATGCCTGAACATACATACAGATAATTTCGATATTTTGTCATCGTCACTTCTAGGCAAGGAGATAATGAGCTACGAGATGAAGTTGGGGTGGGGCAAGGCGGTGGTGATCCCCCCCGTGCCCATCTACATCCCGCCCGTGCTGCAGCAGCCCAGCAAGCCGCCGCCGCCCTCCGGACTGCCCTTCAACGCGCAGCCGCCCAAACACCTCGCACACAAGGTCACACGCACACCACAATTCAACACTTTGACCGATGCACCAATTACATACTAACACTAGCTGTTGCTCGCGACTTCGCCCGCGTGAAATTTGAAAATAACAAATAATATAGCCTATATTACTCACAGTTAAATTACCTTTCTAATGGTGAAAGAATTTTTAAAATCGGCCCAGTAGTTTTTTAGTTATTTCAATACATACAAATATACAATCTTTCCTCTTTATTAGTATAGATAACACAGCCTTACAAATAGACGCGGTATAAAGTTAAACTTAGGGATAAACTTAGTATAAGCAAATATTAGTACAAATTTTGCTTATACTAAGTTTATTCCTAAGTTCAACTTTATAATGTGTTTATTTGCAACGCTGTAAGGGTCAATTCACACAGATTTTTAATGCAAATAAAATTAAGCTTTATTTGAAGCACAGTTTAATTTTATTATGCACATCTTTCCTTATAAAGAGCAATCTTAAAAACGGTGTAAAATAAAATAATATCGTTTTTCCGTAAAAGCTTAATTTTATTTGGAGTAAAAATTACTCTGTTTTATATTATAGTATATGTGAACGGACCCTTACTAGTTTGCGTTTATTGTCTTTTTCCCTTATATATTTAGTCAATAATGCTCTAACTTTTAAAATTCACATTTCAGATACCTCGTATCCGACCCGGAGATTATTACCCACATGATCCAGAAGACAAGAAGCTGTACGACCAGGTTCATAATATTAATATTTCCGTATTCAAACTAAATCTGATTAGTATGTGATTTTTATTTTATTTTTCAGATATTGTCGCAATCTATCGTCAAAGTTGTGGTACCGACAGAAAGGTAACAAATCACCTATTTGAAATAACCTAATATTTGAAAAACCAAAAACTGAATTGACTTAATCAAAAAGATGAATATATCTTACATTTGGAAGACTAGTATTTACACGCGACTCCGTCAGCGTTGATTTAATTTAAAAAAAAAAACAAAAATAAGTAGCCTATCTTTACTTCCAGACTATCCTCTACGTCTATACTAAATTTTACCGTGATCTGTTCAGCTACAAAATCTTACAAACATCCATTCATCTAAACTTTGGCATTTAGAATATTAGTAAGAAGTAATATTGAGAAAAGAAAAAAGTTAAATTTATTTGTACTTATTTAAAACATAAATTCTCATGTTTGTAATGCAATACGACACTTCGAGGAAGAAGAAAAAGAATGAAATGAAAAGAAGAAGAATGAAAAAGAATTGAATAACACCTCATTCTTCAAAATTGGTTTAGTTATTTAGGTTGTTTTTTTAATAGAATTGAGTAAAGTAAAAAATATTCCATGTGATTTTGATAACTAAACTAGGAACATCCTGATGCTGATCCACCGCATGGTGGAGTTCGTGATCCGCGAGGGCCCGATGTTCGAGGCCATCATCATGAACCGCGAGCTGAACAACCCATTCTTCCGCTTCCTGTTCGAGAACCAGTCGCCGGCGCACGTCTACTACCGCTGGAAGCTGTTCTCCATGCTGCAGGGCGACTCGCCCAAGCAGTGGGCGCTGCACGACTTCAGGATGTTCCAGGGTATGCTCTGTTCTTATGTATGTAACACCTGTAATGCGGAAAGGTTATGTAAAAATTTTGAAACGAAATGTGTCTCCTACTACTGTCTACTAAACATTCTTATGAAAATGTTAAAAAAATGGAAGTATAGAAAAAAAAAAATTGGTTTCTGCAAACTTTTTGATACTTATACATTTTAACCGATTTCGAAAGATTAGATAGATTAGATTTTTTTAAAAGTTTTTACATAGATTTTGGTGAAATTTATAATCCAATTTACGTGATCCATTTTTTTATTTCAATGCGAATAACCGTCATTTTGTCCCATTTTTAAAAATAAAACATGAAACAAATCTCTTATTTTATTATATGTTTTGTATGTGCAGGGGGCTCCGTGTGGCGGCCGCCCGTCATGAATCTGTACACGGCCGGCATGCCCGACGAGCTGGTGGAGGAGGACGACGCCAAGGAGAACATACGCGGCACGCTCTCCAACAGGTGAACATCTTGCTGCACTACTGCTTAGTAACAGTTACACGCGACTTTGTCAGCGTGGAAATTTAGCTCTACAATATTTCCATGTAAAGCTACCTTCCATTGAAAGTCCCGTCAAAATTGGTCCTGTCATTCCTGATGGACAAAGATTACGAAAAATTGTCATAGGCAGTGCAAATACAAATGCAATTTTAACGATTTGGAGAAAACGAGAAATACTGGATTGAAATATGTACTATGAAAATATATTTTTAGAACGTAAAAAAAGACGTCAAATAATATACCTAAATGTCAAAATAATAATTACGACCGTACCATACATACAAGAAATATGATTTTTATTCAGATATTACATACAGGGACTCAACAACTGTATGGTATGTGTTGCGTTGCAGCCAGCGCGACCGGCTGGAGGAGCTGATCCG